CCCCCCCAATAATAATAAACATGTTGCAGAGAAACCTGGTGGCAACACCAAATACAGACATAGACACAGATTATAAACTTTATCTTGTTCACCTGCGCTTGACCATTTTGTCTTAAACCCACACTCGGCCTGCCAGTCATCTGCCAGTACGTCCTTCACCAGCTCATTAAACAAGGATAAAGGACAAGGGCTCAACCCGTTGCATCCTGGCACAGGGTTGGGGTAGGGGTTGTTCCGAGAGTCATTGTGGTAGTGCAGCTCCACAGAATAGGATCTGGGTAATTATTAGGACGAATCCAATGAGAGGACACACATCTGTAAGTGTTATGCAAATGTATTTGTATTATGTGATGCTTTCACATATTCATGCCAAATTTCCTCAGATCGCAAAGGAAAGGTATTTGCTCGATGCATCCAAACAGAAAACCGCGATACCTCAAAATGTGGTGGGCATCTGACCTACATAGTGTGCTTGAATATGCAAAAGAGAATAGTGCAGGAAATAAAACTGGAAGGAAGTCATTACCCATCATGCTCCTGGTAGAACTCAAAGAGTTGACAGGCAGCGTAAGGAGGAAGAAGCCCGTTATACACGTCCAGAGCTGCCTGGAGGGTGATGAGTGTAGAGTCATGCTGGAACGAGGAACAAGCACCACAGCAATAAGAAGGCGAGGAGATACAGTACATCAAGCAGCAGTTTACACAGCAGATTATAAATGTGTGCTCGTACACAAGCAATGCACTTACAGCTGAGTACATAATGAATTTGAGAGTGCTCCCTTGCTCTACAGCCTTAGAGAAATTCCTCAGGATGGCATTCAGCAGGACCCCTGGTGAATTACCACAATGTCAACAGTGCAAATTAATTTTTCTCACATACCAAGACAATCCTTTTGACCTTATTGAGCATCCTGTCTTGGCCCTGTAATCATCTTTGTCCCATTAGCTCATATGTGCTAATAAACAAAGCTTCGGCCAGCAGTCACATGAGATAAACAGAGCTTCGTCTTTTTTTTTTCCTCTTGAGTGCTCTAAATTAATTGCCTCTAATGTGAATTCCCACCTCCCGAGAGCCTGGCCTTCTCTTTTCGCTTGTGACTGAGGATGCTGTACATGACCTCAAAGGAAGCTATTCTCTTCAGGGTGTCCAAGACCTCTTGGGTGGCCCAGCGTGGCAGAGTCAAGTTATGAATCCTCTGCAGAAGAGAAGAATGTTCATTACGGCACTGCCTTACGCTAATAATCACATTATACAACATGGCAGCAAACGAGGTTTAAATGGCCGTACTTTATAGTTTCTATTATCCCGTCTATTTTTAGCACCAGTCTGAAGATAACAGATGCTCATTTTGCAAGTTTGAATGAACATATTCAACCTGGCCTAGAATCCACCCATCTCATTATGCTTTAATTATCATTTCAATATGTTGCCCCATTCGTCTTTTACTGTATGTATGAAGTGATTTCCCCGCACTCCTACCCTCGCTCTGTTTCTCTGGAGATACTTTGACGAAAGCACATTATTGTTCCTTTTTTGTGTTTTTTTCTGTCACTTCTCTGCATCTGGGTTTTGTAGCAGCTTGTAATGTGCATAATCCAGGTAGCAGAAATATTTGTGGGCTTGCTTTAAAGTATACCTCACAGTTAAGAGTGTCGTGGACCCTCCATATTTTTTTGCCAACCAGCTTGGACACGGGGTAGCCAGTGTGGTTGGAGAGAGCCTCCACAAAGTACTGCACAGGGAAGAAAAGAATAAGGACATCAGTTTAAACTCTTTAAATAATAAGGCTCAGGGGAACACAACAGTTTAATTACCATTTTTATGAGTGACATTCCATTTATTTATGGATATTTGTCCAGGCACACTGATTAGATATCTATTTTAGGGGTTTATAATCAAATATTGCATAAATTAGCATTAGTAGTTCATTAATGTGGCGATGACTGTAAGTTTAACCTTTGGTCAGATAACACGGTGATACATGGCACCAGTTTGGTTCGTGTATATACCTTGCAGGTTCTCTGCCTCCAGCAGAGGGTGTTAAAATTCAATGCAGGATGCCCTGGCCTGATCTCAAACATCACCCTAATAGGCCGCACGTGGGACTCCATTTAATTAAAACCATTTTATTGTAATTCTTAATCTAATTCAATCTAACCGTTAATTAGTGTCTCGGAGAATGTGAGAGAAATTGCACTGTGCAGCTTTTCATAGGCACTGGAGTCACCGTGCCTGAGAAAATCACTGAGAGGACATGATGTCTTCAGCATAACAAACACGTCTACTAGAGGTGCTGATTACGTTGACATCAACAACTGTGAAGTATATACTTACTGAAATAGGCATTTCAGCATGTGAGTTAATTTACAAATTAGGGCCGGGATAAGCAGACCAGGAGAGGCTGAGGTAGGGAAACAATTTTGTTTGCAGCAATTTTGATTGTGTAAGCCTGATGATATTAAACAACGGGGTTACAAACAAGTTTTCACTGGTTAGCAGGCACATGACTCACGGAAAAGAAATGCTGAACACAAACTAGGCTGTGAGCATTCACGTCACTGAACAGATGCTGAGGCTGGGCTACAGAACAGTGTATTTAGAGGTCTGTCTGGCTGTGTGGAGACGGCCTTTGTCTTACCTGGTGAGCTTTAAGGAACTTCTGGTAGGGATGACTCTCGAAGGTCTCCGTCATCATAGCGCTGAACCTTGGACAGTCTTTACCTGGAGACCTCAGCAACTTTAAAACAGCAGTTAAACATCAGTGGAAATAATGAACGTTAACTCCAGGTACTTCTTGTGGGCACAAATGTATGCTCATTTCACACTTTAACACTGTGGGGAATCACAGCTGGGCTGCACACAGATGGCCGCATGGAGCTACAGAGAAAAGCCCAAAATAATTTACACAATTTTGTAATCAGCTTTCCGTGGCTGCTGCTGTGAAAAGAAAATATTTATGTGGCTCAGCAGCCCACCTTGTCGAGGGCTCTGGGGATGGTGTGCACTGGAATAGGCCGCCACAGTAACTGGGGCATGATGGGTCTGGTTTGGGGGAACATCCCAGCAAGGCAAGCCTGGGCACTCATCAGAGTGCGGTCGTAGTCAGTACTCCGCACGTATATCTGTTGTAATCACAGAGAGAACATGGCATTAAAAAGCATTCATATGCTGGTACTGGAGTGGTTTCACTGATCCGACTATGCCCTGCGTTCTGGGGTAAATGAGGCTTACGTTTCTTTTCTACATTTAGAAATCTCATTAAAGTTTTTCCCTTTATTTTTGCAAGCAGTAGTCATCCCAAGTCAACTGAGGTACTTCCTTAACCCAAAGAGTCATAGAAGAGTCAAATGAATGAGAAGGAAAGGGGAGGGGGGGGACAATCTGTCTTGCTGTGATCTCTTCTGACATCAGTCTTCCCTCTTCTATAGCTCTCTGTCACTCTCTATCAGGTTTTTACACATCGTAAATCAAGCAGATAAGGTTGGATGTTCTTGTAATACCAGGAGTGCTTCTGTTTTGCCCCCTTTTTGTGAAAGTAAAACAGACGTGGCAACACGCAAAAAGGTATGGCACAAGTTCACTGAGATTTAGGCAAGAGATTGTCAGTGATAAGTTCTGAGAACAGCTGTCATTAGTTGTGGTAATTGTGTTTTATTTAAGAGAGAAAGACGAGCACTTAAAGCAAGAGAAAAAGGAAGGTAACGAGTATAACAAAGCAGAGGCCAAAAAGAAATTAAAAATCTCTTATAATGTCAGTATGTTTAGGATCCAGCACACAGAAATTGCATGTTTGCTGACAGCTGTACTTTACACGAAGCCCACAGGCTACATTACCCTCCCATGTTTAGCACACTGCACGGTCATGACAGTGAGTTCACCAAAATGAGGCTCATTAACTTATTGTATGTTTTTACAGACGTGACAGATGGTGACTGCTCGTACGCTCACTTGATTTTACAGGGCACGCATGACAAGAGGCTTAGACAGCTCACAACAGAGTTCACCTAAACAAAGATGGGGAAGGAAACAGCAATTAACACACACATACACATATCTGTTTGCATACACAGATACGCTTACCTCTTTGCTGTTATAGTCTTCACTGAGGAAATTTCCGTAACGCCTCCTTAGAAACCGCCCCAGTTCAAACTGCTGTTTCATGCCCAGCTGGAAGGAAAATTGCCAGCATTTTACATTTTTAGCAGAATTTGACCTTTTGACTGAAAACGCTGCAGATTTATGGTCCTAATCAACCTTTTTACATAGATAAGCAACTTTTACCCCGTTACCAGTGTTTCTCAAAGACAAAATAATGAGTTTATACACTGTAAAGCAGCTAATTGCCCGACAACAGAGCAAAGTCACAGGAGGAAGGAATTTAATTAAAGCCCGAAGTCTGTTAAAAGTGTATTTTATAGTGAAGGATTTTAAGTAAATGAATTCGCAGTTTTTGAAGTACAGTGATGCATTCATTGTGTTAAGCCTGTGATCCTCCTGTTTATGAATTTCTTGTCAAATTATAAGCATAAAGTCTCTATTATTATTTTTCTTTTGTTTTATTTTTTCACCTATATTTTAGTGAACTGTGTCGCTCCAGTCCAAGTATGGTGGCCTTAAAGCGCAAAACAAAATAACATTAAAGAGAAAACTAGAAACATTTAGAAAGGACATACTTTGTAAACTACTGAAATGTAATTTTCTGTTTTGTTATTAATTTTAAATGTCAGTGGGTTTTTTTGTTTTTTTTTAAGGTTTATGTAATATTCTTGTGTATTGTTGTGTAACTTAATTTTTTTCTCTTGGTGTTATTTTCTAATTTGTTTGTTAAGATAAATAACAGCTTTGACTGTTTTGTTGTTTGTTTCTTGCTATGCTGTTATTATGTATTTTGTTTTATTCTTCTCTTTTCTAAAATGCTGTATTGCAATTTCTACAATTTTCTTTTCTTCTGCACTGTAGGGCCTCCGTACCACAGCCCAAATGATTTTGTGTAAAATAAGAGCTAGAGTAAAACTATTAGACAATTCGGTTTATACAACCAAAATCTCTTCACGTGTTTTGTTAACAACAAAACAAAATGTCAATGACAAATCAAGTACCTCAGTCAACTGTCCGAAACCCTGAGCCCACACTTCCTCCCCATATGGATCCCTGGGATACGACTCAATAGGTGATCGATCTCCGTGCCGGAACACCTGAACAGCAAAAAAGATATTGTCACATGATGCCGTGCTGCTGTGTTAGCATTACACTGCACACTTAAACAAGATTATCACCCTGAGACAGAGGTAATAAATAGAGATCTGTGACTGTGGACAGCGTGGGCAGGATTTGAGGCACAAGTGTCATTCTGATGATGTCATCAAGGCACGATTGTTAGAACTGTTGCATTAGTGTTATTACCTGACAGCTCACTTTCTGAGCCGTGACATAACAGAAAGGTTGAATTAATGGGATTGTGCACACATCTGATTCACTCTTGTTGATCCCACAGTAATTTTACAAACCACTCGAGTGAAACACGTCATAAAAATAACACAATAACACAAACACAAGTCAGCAAAGATCCAAAGGCTTTTGAATATAATTGCTGCACAACACCATAACAATTTTTTCATGTATGTAAAGTAACTAAATCAATAACTAAAAATAATAGTTTTCAAAAAAAAACAAAAAACAAAGATTTGTGAATCTAAACTCAATAAAATTCAGTGGAGCTGTATACGAGTTTGCTGAGGACTAGCAGGAATTTAGTGGATTTAGCTGATAACACACTTTTACTGTCAAGCAGTTGGTTAAGCCGTAATAGTTATGTAGCAGATATATAATTTTATAGTATGCTGTCCCAAGGTAAGTGGTTAAAGCACTTAAGCAAAATACACATACAAGTTGTTTTTTTTTAAAGGATACAAAAAAATAAAAAATATAAAACACCAAATCATAAGAATAGTGTGATTTCTTTTTCTTAAATCATTCAGTTGGGTAATAAGGTGTTATGTAAAGAGGTTTATGTATAAAGCTGCAGTGTGTGGGAGAGATATGCTAGACACTGTTGGAGTTTAGGCTCAAAGTAATCCTTTGTTACACAAAAAAGTGCAAAAACAATAATACTGATCGGGCAGGAAAACTACAATGCAATCAGTAACCATGCACAGCAAAGTATCTTCCAGATTATATAATAATCACAGGATTCAACAAAGAAATGCTGTCAAACATCTTGTGGGGGGAGGGGGGGGACACAAATGGGGGAACTTACAGCTACAACAAACTTCAGCACCCGGCACTCAGTCAAACAGATGCAGCAGAGAAGGAACAAACAGCCCAAACTCTTCTGCAACTTCTGCATCTTTTCAGCTAGTCGAGCGTCACCTGCTTTACAAAATTCTTTCACTGAAAGAGGAAAAGTATCAAGAAAGTTAATTTATAAAATCACAATTTCACATTAAATAAGGGAACAAAAAGAAACAGAAAGAGTGCAGTGAAGGAGATAAAGTGGGCTTTGTGTACCAATCATGATCTTAGCATATGGTTTATATTATTATTATAATATTTTTACTCTAAGTACATGTTGAATATGATAAGAGGAATCAACTAAGCATGTAACATAATCATTGAAATCAATTTTTTTTTTAAATTTAGGTTACTTTGTTCTTAAAAGTTGAAGTCACTTTCAGTAAATTTCCATAATCTGTTAACAAGCTGAGCCACTGATCTGTTGATAATAGTGTTCTTTCTTTCCAGTTAAGAGAAATTCTTATTATGTTGTGATTCAAACATTAATTAAAACTTTAAAACGCAATACGCAGCGTGCTCATGCATGCAACAAAATGCTTTTTTTTTTTAATATAAATGAAGATTTGCACTTACCTCAGCTGCTTGTTCACATATTTTGGTGTTGTAGTACAAATGATTCGCAGACATATAGATATATATATGTGTGTGTGTGTGTGTGGGTGGGTGGGTGTGTCAAATCCTCACTCACACCCAGGCTGACACTAAGTGCATGTTTCAGTAAATTTAGGCAGTGCTTTTATAGCCTCCCTACCTGGCCTTGCGTGGGTGTCGCTCTCTCTCTCCCTCTTTCTCTTTCTCTCCACCTCTCCTCTGGGATTATTGGTCCCAGTCTATCTCCATTGTCAACTGGAGTCCAAGTCACTGTCTCCTTCTATTCCCCGCTGCGCACATGACATGACAGCCCGCCACGGCAGGCATTTTTGTGTCAGCTTTTGATCTTATGAAAACGTGTGGCCCTTGTGTGGATAATTTCACTTTAAAAGCACCCCCACATTTAGATGCTTTACAATAGCACGACAAAGTGTAGATGCACCCACCTGGCTTCTAAAATTGTACTCCTGCATGCGTAAACACACATGTCCTCACTTAAGCACTGGCCCAGAGCCACAAACACTCATTATAACTTGCTATGTCATCCACTGTTGGTTTTGCCCTGAAATTACAGGGCCTGGAGTGTTTTCCCTTACATGGCACACATGTAAGTATCTGTTAGTATCAAAGTAGCTTTATGAGATACAATGGGATTAGTAAGTGTAAAGATTTAGAGCTATGCAGCGTTGCCATCATGTTTGATAAGTGTAAGATAGCATCTTTTGTAACAAGCAATTTAAAGTATTCACTGAGGTGGCGTGTCAGAGTAACATTTTAGATACTAAATTAGGTTTTATAGATAATGATCTGCAAAGAAAAAAAGAGCATAACTGGCAGCTTGTAAACTGAGCGAGAATCCCGCGTACTTAGTTAAAACAACAAGAAGATTAAATGTGTTCAGTTCTGCTTTTAGCTGGTGATAATTTATATCTTTATTCTTCTGTTTGTATAGTTCACTAAAGTGTTTTCTAAAGGCTTGTGTAGATTTTATCACAATGCCACTTCAGTTGCCTATGTATGCAATGCTAATTATGTGTACTTTATGCAAAGAGTAAAATGCTGTTAGTTTTTGTCCTTTTAATACAGACTGGGATTTATTTTCAAGAAGACAAAAAATCAGGTATTATTATCTCTTTGCCTTATATTCATTTTTACAGTGTTACGCAGTATTAACCGAAACACACTGGATTTAAAGTAAAAAGCTAAACTGTTGCCACAGTTTAGCTTGTAACCTTAGTGTAATTGGTTTTGCCCTCATGTTTCGAGTATTTTACTTTTTTTCTCTGCTTTCCATGTTTCGCCTCGCTTTGTCTTCTTGTTTCTCTGCGACTTTATTCTTTTATGTTTTTTCTTAATTTAAAGGTTATTCCTTCACATGCTTCTGTGCTATTACTTCCTCTCTTTGTTCTCTTCACACCCACTTTAGCGTCTGATTCAGTTCACCTGAGCCTTATTAATATTCTCCCTAGTGTGTAATCTGCGTGTTTTCCGTCAATCTTTTCCATATCATCATGTGATCTACCTATTTATTCCTGGTTATCTGCTTTCCTGGTTTCCTTGTTTCCTTTCTGGAAACTCTGCGAGACACTTGAGAGTTCTGCATGTTTCTGCAGAGCCTTTTGTTCTGTATTTTTCTCTAAGTCATTAAAGAACATTTTATTTGACTGCCTGCTTGTTGGTCCCTTTTAATGTTCTGCATGGGGACCATTAAAGAACTTTACCTTAAAGAACTGGTGATAAAGTCCATTGTAGCAACTATAATGCCGGCTTTTAAAATGTATATGTGCACTGACGTTCAGCATATGTCGGAACTAATTTAAAACTCTGATACTGTGCAGTGGTCTGCGTGTACATCTGTTTAACCCCTTCAATTCCACACCACAGCACTACACAGTAATCCTCTCACTGGTACACAAACACAGACATACACGCATGGGGACAACATGTGTGTGATACAGACTTTGGTACAGGTTGGCTTTGAAAAGCACCCCTTTACAAATGGGTCAGCAAGTCCACCTGCACTAATCTCACAGTAACATATATATATATTTGCATATCCATTTAGGGTTTTTAGTGGAGGATAATAAATGCTTTTTACCATATGGGGCCAAAAGAAACTCATATATAATGTAAAATCACATCACCACATTTGCATATTTGTTCGAAAAATGCTAAAATTCACACACTGGTTCATTGAAGGGTCGCAAAACATGCATGTACACGCACACAATCTCTCCCTCTGTTGCTCTCATAAACATAAAGCACCAACACATACACACAGGCAGACATCTCTCACTCGATCAGTTTCCCTCCCTCTCCCCCGAGTGGCTATAGTGTGGTTTTTCCCTTTTTTTCCTTCTTTTCTTTCGTTTTTTTTGTCTTTGTTGAAATAATTGCAGCGATTTTCAAGACCGTCACCATGGCAACGCAGAGGCTGATGCGTGTTGACAGAATCTGTTGCAGGGCGACCGAGAGACTGAAAATGGGAGATAAGAGGTGGGAGGAGATGTGATGAGTGGCGTGTATGCGTGCGCGTGCATGTGTGTTTGTGTGTGTGTGTGTGTGTGTGTATGTGTGCGTGTGTACACACTTGTGTGTGTGGAGCTGATGATGGTGTTGGCGGTATTAGTGCTTCAGTCCATATGATGAATGGAGACGAGCAGTATGGGACATCTAGAACGAGCCTCAAGATCAGGAATGAACAGTTATGAGTGTATGAGAGAAGAGCTGGTGGTGGGGGTTGGGGGGAGGAAGGGGGTGCTATTTTAGTCTGGGCGTTGTCATGGAAACTGCAGCCTCACTACAAATGGAGACATCCAGAACACATGGATCGTCAAACAAATGGCGTGCGTAAGGCTCAGCGTGAAGCTACGCCATGGCTGTGCGACACTATGCCATCTGAGTCGAACCCGCCCCCACCCACACAGACACCCACACCCCTCTGCAGCCTGATAACAGTGGCATCTTCTTCATCGCAGAGACTGAATATCAATGGGAGGGTGGTGGTAGTGTGTGTGGTGTGTGTGTGTGTGTGTGTGTGTGTGTGTG